TTTTTTTGTTTGTTTGTTTGTTTTTGACTTAGGGCAACGCAGTCTGACTCTGACAGGTGTTCTGGGGTGTGAAAAGGGGAGGCATTAGGAGGCAGAACTCCACCTGTAAATTACTATCAAGTCCACCCGGCAGCAGTTCCTCTACTTGGGATACATGTAAATAATGGGTTTCCAGCTCTCGTGTTTGTTGACCCAGACTGATTCTCACCTGGGGACAGAAGAGAAGGCCTCATCTCAGGCCCTCCCTGAGCAGTATTGTGGTTCTAAAGAAATCACAGCTCACAAGTCTCCCCCTGATACTTACTCCTTTACGAACCAAGTAGAGAGCCAGATCAGTGGACAGCATTTCGGGGGTCAAAGCTTTCTCCATATTCTCCTTGTTGATCTGCAGAGAGGAGGGTCAGAGGGGAGACATCACCATCAGCTCCTGCTTGGGGACACGCTAGCTGTCACAGTGAGGGCATTTCATCTGGAAGGGGCCTGGCTCTGCAAGGTCCTCTGCCCCATGTGACCCCAGAGCAGGGTGGATGTGAGCAGCTGACAAAGGGGCTGCAGTGAGTCCCTGGGTGAGCGTGGGACTGAGGAATTTTCATCTTAGGACCAGCGTGGAGCTCACTTCCCTGTGTCAGTCCATGAGGAATGGCATCCTTGTGGATGCAAGCAGGAGCAGAGCGTGTTCAGTAACGAGAGGCTGAAGCCTTACCTGGAGGGTAGAGATGACTCCAGTGGCAACCTGGAGCACAGCAGTCAGGGTATCCACCACATCAAAGACAGCCTCCTTGTCCTCCTGCGTGATAACATGGATGGAAGTTGCAGTAAGTCAGCCTGAAGCAGCCAAAAAGGCCAGCAGCCTGAGCAGCGCGGCCAGCAGAGCAGGCGCTGACATCTGCGGGGCTCCCCTGAGGGCTGCGTGCAGTGCCTTATCCCCTTTTTTTAGCATCCTGCACCCCAGCAGGTCCCGTGCAGGGAAAGCTAGTGGCAAGCACTGCTTGCAGATCAGAAGACAGTTGTGTCTTTTCAGAGAAATGGAGTGAGAGCAAATATTTCTTTTACCTGCAGATCCTTGTTGTAGGTGCTTGGAAGTCCTTTGAGAACCATGAGAATAGAGGCACACTGCAGGGAAGAACAGGCACTAAGCTATAGGAAGAGAAGCGTGTTGCCCCAGCAGAGATATCCAGAGCCAAGACTGGGCACATTTCTTTACACAGAGCCTTG